AATGCTTCTTCAAGATTCATGCAGGCATATGTGGTCAGTGCCCAAGTCTGTAAATAACATACACATTATTTAAAGCTTATATTCTGACCCTTTGAGTCTGCAGTATCCTTATTACAGCCAATACTGTGTTAGAAGGATGAACTATGCTTTTAAAAAATTAGATTGAAATCTTTTAGGGAAAAAAGCACTGCCCCCTTCCCTATATTCTTCCATTTGCTTATCTCTTTGCCCCACTCTCCACCCAGTTCAGGAAAGTTTCTCTTAAATCAGCCTGATACTTTCAAGACTAGCATGGCTGTTGACAGTTTTATGCAACTAATAAAGAAGATTAAAAAATAAACAAACTCTGCAACTTTCCGTATTCTGAAGTCCAATGCAGAGGGAAAAAAAAACCCTCTTGTGTGGGAAATGTAAAATGCCGCCTTGTTGGAGGGTGCTGGAAATATGATAGGAAAAAAATGACTTCCATATATCTAAATGACATTTGAAAGAACAAAAATCAAGGGCTGTTAATGTAGCTAGATGTTGGGATTCAGGTAATATGTCCTGTAATTCATTCTGACTGACAGTTGTGAGGAGAAATCAGAGTACGGCTGACCAAAATACCATCCCTTGAAAAAAAAAATCAGCAATGGGACTTCAAAACTGATTCCTCACATATCAACCTGATCTCCCCGAAGGGACTCCTTTCCAGCTAAATGCTGAATTGAATTCCGTACATCACATTTCTTGGTAGAGATTTAGTGCTTTAATTATATTTTTTATGTGTCACAGAACTGTAAATATAAATTATCCTTTTGTTTTCTCTATCTTTAAGGAAGAGCTTAGAAAAATAATAATAATTAAAGGGGTATGTGATTCTTCTTTAAGTCTTCTCATTACTCATGTGGAGGGTACAATGCAAACTGTATTTGTGGCTGCAGAACATTCTGGCCATACCTCCAGGACATCTTAGCAATGACTGGCAAGTCTAAAAGTCATTTGATCAGCGATTTGTTTTGCTTACAGAGATGATGATTGTTTTGATATTTTTCTGTTTCTTCCCGAAATGCTTTGAACTGAGCATTCATTTCTGTATCACACAGATAAATGTTGCTCAGCTACAGCATGGTTGAAGGAAAATCACTGGGAATATTTTTTTTAATTTCTAAAATATTTCAGTTGGAACATTGTGGCTCAGACTCCAAAAATCTTTTTGACCCAAATGTTGAAATCAATAATATAGGATAATATAGGCAGAGTTAATAATCTAACAGAACTATCTGGACATGTCTTTGCATATTAATACCTCATGGAGTGGAGTGAGATATTTTTAAATCCATTGGCCATTTTAAAGAATCCTCCAATTATATCATGTCAACAGTTGTTTCTCCTACCTATATACAGAGCTACTGGTAATGATGAAGCTTGCCAGAAAGCTGTGCTACCAAAAGACCAACATCCCAGCTTGCATCTGGCTTTGTAGAACATGCCAACAATGCTTAATGTAATGGGTCACATCTGTCAAGTAGGATTACAAATTGTACCTGTAATGCCCTGTAATTAGTAATCCTCAAATGGCTCCAGCTGCTATTTCCCTGAACATTTGCCTTGGTAACATCTCATAGGAAATATGACTTAGAATGAAGACTATTTAGGTCCAAAGGACACTGTAGTGAAATAGGAACATTTTCTTCTAGAAAAAAATCCCTTTTTTTTCTGTCACTCTCACCAAGTTTACTAGAAGGTCTTTCATCCAGAGACCAGTATGGGATATGCTTCAGCTTGCTGAGGAGAGATTTGGCTGTTGACTTTGTTTCAGAGCAAAATTCTCCCACGAATCATGAGAAAAGTAAATATGTCTGTTTTCTGTGTGTTAGGGTGATTTGAGAATGAATGCGAGTCTGTAACTGGAGACTTCCCACTGAGAAGTTGACCTTTTGCTTGTAAAGGAGACTTGCTATTTGGTTGGCTCATGGGTACATCTGCAAATGCTGGCATGCTGGGTTGTGTTTGCAGATCAGAATCCATTACTTGCTGAGACCTAAGATGCAATATGGAAAATGTAGGTTTAAAAAATTATTTCACTAGTTTGACTTTCAGTACACTCTTTTCTGAATTTATTCAAGCGAGTTTCCAGTGAAAATTCACCATCTCATAAATGACTATCTAATAAAAATGAACTAAAACCAGACCCTTAACTTATACCATTCAATAAAAATTTGCTAGGAGGATTAAAATTAAAATATGAAAATGAAACTATAAAATGATGAAAATATAGATATTTATTTTATTTATATGCTCTTATAGTGGCAACATATTTGTAAGCATAACTGCAAAGGTATAAATCAGGGAGGAAAAGATTGAGTTGATGCTGCAGAAAGAAACAAACATATTAAACACTTTTTGTATGTTAAAAATCCATGATAAATAAAAATGAAAGGAAAATAGCAAATGAGAAAATGTTTGCAGCAGATATTAAGTATAATTGGTCTACTTAAACAGTTCTTACAAGTTGATTTTAAAAAGATGGAAACTCGAATAGGAAAATGGACAAAGAACATAAATATGTAATTCACAAAGGAAGAAACAAAAATGGCCAATAAATAAATGAAGAAATATTTATTTTCATTAGCAATCAAACAAATGCAAACTAAATCCATCCATCACATTGGCAAATTTACAAAAGATTGATAATAAACTGTGTTAATAAAGGTTTGAGGAAACAGAACTTTCATATACTGGAGTCAGAATGCAAATAGGAAATCTCTTTATGGAGTAACATGAAAATATGTATCTACACCTACCAAAATATGCAATTCTACGTGTAGGAAGTTACCTTCAGGAAATAATTAGAAATGTGTGGAAAGCAGTGGTCATAAAAATGTTCATTGTACCACTGTTTTTAATGGTTTAGAAAATTATAAGAAAAAGACAGTAATAGATTGGTTAAATAAAGTATCTACACTTGTAGATTGAAAGATTATGGAGTCTTGTAAAATCATGTTGTAATAGATTATTTTTGACCTGAAAAAGCAACCACAATCTGCGCTGTGTTTAAAAAAATGGTAACACCATGCACAGTGGTTCACACCTGTAATCCCAGCACTTTGGGAGGCCAAGGTAGGAGAACTGCTTAAGCTCAGGCATTCCAAGGCAGCTTGGGCAACAAAATGAGGCCCTGTCTCTATAAAGAATAAAAAATTAGCCAGTTGTGCTGGTGCATGCCTGTTGTCCCAGCTACTTGGGAGGCTGAGGTGGGAGGATCACTGGAGCCAGTAAGGTTGAGGCTGCAGTGAGCTGTCATCATGCTACTGCACTCCAGCCTGGGCAACAGAGCAAGACTCTTTCTAAAAAATAAATAAATAAATAAAACTATAAAAAGCAATTTACAAAATGGTAAATAGAATAAGATACTGTATTTTATACACATACACACACACTAAGAAAGAGAGAGTGATTGAGACACAGACATGGACAATTATAGACAAAGATGTAGAGAAGACTAGAAGTAAATATTTCAAAATAGTGTCTTGGGGTGAGAGATAACAGGTATGTGACTTTTTTTTTCTTTTCCCTTGAGATGTATTACTTTTGAGATTGGGAAATAGAAACAATAACAATTACCTATTAAAAAGACACATCAGGCTGGGCACGGTGGCTCACGCCTATAATCCCAGCACTTTGGGAGGCTGAGGCAGGTGGATCACTTGAGGTCAAGAGTTCGAGACCAGCTTGACCAACATGGTGAAACCCCCTCTCTATTAAAAATACAAAAATTAGCTGGGCATGGTGGCACGTGCCTGTAATCCCAGCTACTCAGGAGGCTGAGGTGGGAGGATCACTTGAACCCAGGAGGTGGAGGTTTCAGTGAGCCAAAATCGTGCCATTGCATTCCAACCTGGGTGACAGAGTGGGGCTCCATCTCAAAAAAAGAAGACACATCAGCCCAGTTAGGGATAAGTATTGGCACTGATGGCCTTGCCTTTGGAGCCTCACTGCCAACTTTTTTTGTCCTTCTTTCCTTTTCTTTCTTTATTTAGATAGAGCCTTGCTCTGTTGCCAGGCTAGAGTGCAGTGGCACGATCTTAGCTCACTGCAACCTCCGCCTCTGGGTTCAAGCGATTCTCATGCCTCAGGCTCCCGAGTAGCTGGGATTACAGGCATGCGCCACCACGCCCAGCTATTTTTTTTGTATTTTTAGTAGAGACGGGGTTTCACCATATTGGCCAGGATGGTCTCCATCTCCTGACCTCATGATCCACCTGCCTCGGCCTCCCAAAGTGCTGGGATTACAGGCATGAGCCACCGCGCCCAGCCTCCTTTCTTTAAATCATCATGTCCTACAGACTTCCAGAGTCCTTAGTGTTTTCATTCACTCATCCATTCATTCCTCCATTCAGCAAACATTTCTTGCTTTATACCATGTGCCAGGCTGAGTATTTGTCCCCGGCCAATGCTCCATTCTGTAAACATTTCCTAGTTGTTTCTTGTCTATACTTATTTATCAGTCTGGGGGTCTTTCCCTCAGACCCTGTTAGGTGAATGACTAGTACATTTTTCTAACAAGTTCTTTCTGTGTTAAGTAGATGATCTAGTATGCTACTTGAACTTTAAGGGGGGCCTTAACTGTCTTAACTTAAAATAGTAAGTGTGTGAAAATTGTAGGCAACTTTATGTAGATATATGCCTGCCAGATAATATCACTCTTTCCTTCTCACACATATTCTAACTGGGCAGCATGCCTCCAACTGTGTTCCACCCTGCAAGGCCTGGGCTCCCCATGTTAAGATTAGTTCTCTAATTTGGCAGCTTAAAACAACACAAATGTATTATCTTACAGTTCTGGAGGTTAGAGTTCCAGAATGAATTTCACTGGGCTAAAATCAAGGTGCGGGTAGGGCTGGGGTTTTTTTTGTTGTTGTTGTTGTTGGTTTTTTTTTTTTTTTTTTTTTTTTTTTTTTTTTTTTTTTTTTTGAGGCTTTAGAAGATAATCCACTTATTTGCCTCTTTCAGCCTCTGGAGGACCCTTCATCGCTTGGCTTATGGCCCTCTTCATCCATCTTCAAAGCCAGGAACATTGCATTTACCTGAACATTCTTCTATAGTCTCATCTCCCTCTAGCCATAGCCGAGAAATGTTCTTCACTTTGAAGAAACCATATGGGTTGAATTGTGGCCCCTCAAAAGGTATGTCCACATCCTAATCCCCAGGCCTTATGAATGTTACATTGCTTGGAGAAACGTTCTTTGCAGACGTAATTATACATATTGAGGTGAGAAGATTATCTCAGATTATTGGGCTGGACTCTATATCCAATGAAAAGTCTCTTTATAAAAGAAAAGCCGATAGAGTTTTGAGATGGGAGAGGAAAAGACGCAGAGAAGAGGAGGCAATGTGATCATAGAGGCAGAGATTGGAGTAATGCAGCTACAAATCAAGGGACACCCACAGCCACCAGAAGCTGGAAAAGGCAAGGACAGAGGTCCCCGGGAGCCTCCAGAGGAAGTACAGCCCTGCTGACACCTTGATTACAGACTTCTAGCCACCACAAACACAGCCTCAGGCTGTCTTTAATATTTTGCTTCCATCCTTACTTAATTATCTTGGATCTGTATCCTGGATGTCAATGTGGAATAAGAGAAAGCACACACACGTGGAGTCAGGCAGACTTCTGCTTAATCTCTCGCTCTTTATTTATTCCCTGTGTATTCCTGGGCAGTTAATTTAACCTCTATGAGCTTATTTTCTCATCTTTAAGACGTGGGTAATCATATGCGCTCCATAGAGTCATTGTGAGGATTAAACTAGATAACATATATAACATGCCTGGTACATAGGAGGCATTTGATGAATGTTGCCTTCCTTTTCCTATCACCCTATAATCTGTGAACCAGTAGTACTCTATAGTCTTGAAGTAGATGGTCTGGTAGAGCAGATATTTTTGTATAGGGACTTTCTAATTTTCCTTCAAATCTCACTGTGTAGGTAGCTTTCTTTTGTTTTTTAAATTTCCCTTTTATCTATATGAAGGCATGGGTGACACATAAAAATTGTATATAACCACTGTGTAGATAACTTTCTAACCTGATTATACATAAGATTTCCCCTGATGACATTGCATTTTATTTTGAACTATAATTATACCTACACAACATTAAAGTTTCTGGTTGAAAAGGGGAAAGTCCTACCAAAATGGCTGTTTAGGAAAACACACTATAATAACAAATAAACAAATATTTGTACATACTATGTGTTAAGTGTTGTAGACATTAGGGAATGAGATTAACATAGTACTTATGCTTATGGAGTGAGGAAGACTGACCAGTAACTAAACAACTCTAGCACAGTTGTCTCTTGGTATCTATGGGATATTGACTCCAGGACCCTTGTGGATACCAAAATCCAAGGATGCTCAAGCTCCTGATACAAAATGATGCAGCATTTGCATATAACCTATGTACATCCTCCAGTATACTTTAAATCATTTTTAGATTACTTATACCAAATGCAATGTAAGTCATCTCTAGATTACTTATAATATACCTAATGCAAATTAATTTGAAGGCTCATTTCCATCAGGCTTCAAATGTACTGTAATCATTTGTATTATTTTAAAAAGTCAATTTTCCTGTCTCCTGTTACAGCAAAAACTTGTTAAAAGAATTGTCTCTACTTACTGTCACTATTGTCTCTTCTCTTATTGTTTCTTGAATCCACTCCAGTCACACTTACACCCCTACCACTTCACTGAAATGAAGCAAGGTAAAAACTATATAAATAGTCATTATACTCATTGTTTAAGGAATAATGACAAGAAAAAAAAAGTCTGTACATGTGCAGTACAGATGCGACTATCATAGACCTAACTACATTTTCAATTTGTGGTTGGTTGAATCCATGGATACAGAGGGTATAGTGTGATTGGTGCCATGGTGTGCACAAACACAAGGGGTGCTTAACAGGAAATAAGGACTCCCTGGAGTAAGTAAAGTCTAAGTCGAGATTTAAATGGTGAATGGAAGTTAGCTATGTAGAGTCCCTCTTACCTTCCACAAATAAAGAAAGGGAGAAAAATATAAAGGAAAAATTGTTTTAACAAATTTAATTAGTGTAAACATTAAGTTTAAAATTCTGGGTATCTAAACAGAGCCGTTCTTGTTTTTGTTTCCATTGAAAAAATGTTTGGATATAGTTGCACTACTGAGATGGGAATGAATGGCCCATTGATAAAATTCTTTCAAGTCACTTGGAGGAAAAGAGGGCTTTTATTACATTTTGCACAGGTGTCCCCAGCCAGCAGGTAGGGCCATTAGTCAAGATGTAAATACTATATCACAAATGTTCCTGAATACAAACCCCTGATTGAGGAAAGAGGGTAGATTTGGACCAAGTTGTGTTCATGGTAGGATGTTGGGTAGGGAATGGTGTCAAACAGAAGATGTAGTTGCTGGTTTATAGGAATAATAATAATCCCAAAAATATGTTGTATATTAATTTATGTGCCAAATACTGTTCTAAGCACTTTTTGTGTATTAACTAATTTAATTCTTCCAATGGTTCTGTGAGGTAGGTAATACTACTATTCTTACTTTACAGATAGTAAAGACAGACTTACAGACAGACTTTACTACAGTCAGCAAGTGATAGAGCTGGGATCCAAGTCAAAACAAGTTGACTTGAAAACCTGTGCTGTTAACTCCTACAGTCAGTACTTTTCCCCTTGGGGAAATAAGGGCTTTGTGGAAATGTAGACACAGAAATGACATATGAGAAGAGAAAACAGAAGCAAATATCAGCATGACTATATGGCCATATATCCATTAAGTGGCAAGAGACAGGCTGAGTGATTAGAGTTACTGAACCTGGGGTTGGGATGGGGTGGGGATTACTTTGTCAGGAAGGTCTACAGAAAAATAAATCTTAGGCTGGGTGCAGTGGCTCACGCCTGTAAGCCCAGCACTTTGGGAGGCCGAGGAGGGCAGATTACCTGAAGTTGGGAGTTCGAGACCAGCCTGACCAACATGGAGAAACCCTGCCTCTACTGAAAATACAAAATTAGCCAGGCATGGTGGTGTATGCCTGTAATCCTAGCTACTCTGGAGGCTGAGGCAGGAGAATCGCTTGCACCCAGGAGGTGAAGGTTGTGGTAAGCCGAGATTGCGCCATTGCACTCCAGCCTGGCCAACAAGAGCGATACTCCATCTCAAAAAATAAATAAATAAAATAAATAAATCTTAATCCGTGTTTTGTTAAGAGAGGAATGTAATTATAACTACTACTAGTTAACATTTTTTGAGCCCCTACTATGTGCCAATAAATGTTTTAGATAATATCTAACTCAATAGTCAAAACAACCTGAGGCAGGTACTATTATATTTCTATTTTTAGATGCAGAAACTAAGACACAGAGAAGATAATTTTCCCAAAGTGTCTGAGCTCAAAAGGGGTGGAGCCAGGTTTTGAACCAAGGCAGCCTGACTCTTCCTTAAATATATTGACTTGCTCCGGTAATTCTTCCCTCTCTCTCGTGTCAACAATTTTTCTGTCTTCATGGAATCATTCCTATCCGCCTTCAAATGTGCTGTAATCATTTGTATTATTTTAAAAAGTCAATTTTCCTGTCTCCCTTTATAGCAAAAACTCATTAAAAGAATTATCTCTACTTATTATCTTTCTTCCCATTGTTTCTTGAATCCACTCCAGTCAGACTCACACTCCCACCACTTTGCTGAAACTGCTCTTGTCAAGGTCACCAGTGACCTCACCATAGCTAAATGTCACGGTCAATTCTCAGCTCTCATCTTACTTGACCTTTTAGCACTATTTCCTATAACAGATCCTTCCTTTGTCTTCCAGGACATTATCCCTGCTTTCTTTGTTTTTTTGTTTTTCCTATTTCCCTAGCTGCTCCAGTTTCCTTTTGTGGGTTCTTCATATTTCCAACTTCTTAATGTCAGAGTCCTAGACTGCTTCTCACTTCTATTCATAATCACTCCCTCAGTGATATCATTCTGTCTTGTGACGTTAAATACCACCTACGTGCTGTTGAATTCCCAAATTTATATCTGCAGTCCAGATCTCTCTTCCAAACTCCAGATTTGTATATCCAACTGACTACTTGTCATTCCATTTGGATGTCTAATTGGAATCTGAAATTTAATATGTCCAAAACCAAACTGCTGATATTTTCCCCACAATCTGATCTTTTCATTGTCTGGCTCATTTCAATTAATGGCCATACAATATTCCAGCTGCTTAGGTCAAAAACTTTGGCATCACCTTTGACTCTTCCCTTTTTCTCATTCCCTCACCTCAGTCTAAATTCAATCTTAATGATTTCATCTTCAAAATATATTTGGACTCTAACCACTTTTTACCAACTTTACTGCAATCATTGTGGCATGGTTGGATTATTGCAACAGCCTCTTAATGGGTCTCCCTGATTTCACCCTTAACCTTCTAACCCACAGCAGCCTGAGTGATCTTGTTAAAGCCTAAGTCAGAGCATGCCACCTTTCTTATCATAATTCTGCAATGGCTCCTCATCTCATTTGAAGCAAAAGCTAACGTCTATACGATGGCCTATGGCCCTACCCCAGTGGTTTTTAATCATTACTATATATTAGAATCACCTGGAGAACTTTTAAAAAAAATTCTGGTCCTCACTCCCAAATAAAATGAAGCCATATCTCCAGGAGTGATAATATGTGGTATGGCCCAGGTATCTGCAGTTTTTCATAGTTCCTCAGGTAATTCTGAGAATCAGAAAGGGTTGAGAGTTCCTGACTTCATTATGCCTTAATCTTCTACTACTCACTATCCCTGGCTTATTTCTATTCCAATCACATTGGCCTGCTTGCTGGAGGATGCCAGGCACGCTTTTCCCTCAGAGTCTTGGCACTAGCTGCTCCCTCTGCCTAGTATGTCCATCCCCAGTTCCCATGATGGCTCACTCCCTCACCTTCTTCAAGTCTTTGCACAAAAGTGGCTTCTCTATGAAGCCTTTCCCGGTTCCCATTTCAAAGTGCATTAATCTTTTCTGCTTTATGTTCATCTATAGCCTTATCATCCTTATCATCTTAAATATTATGGTTTTACTTCTTTTAGTGTATATCTCCCCTAGCTAGAATGTAAGCGAGCTCTCTGTGGGCAGGGATTGATCTGTTTTATTTACTGCCATATCTCCAGTGCCTGGTGCATAGTATCCATTCAGTAAATAAATGTTGAGTAAATGAATTATATGACAAAATAACACATAATAAAGCAAGATTAGGGTAACAAGGCATCCAAGTAAAATGAAGAGCAGAGGAAAATCCAAGTAAGTAGTTAAGTCTATTTGCCTTTAGTTCAAGGGCAAAGAGGTGTCCACAAACTAAGTCTATATGCTCACTAATAAAATTTGAGATTGATTCTCAAGCTAGTCGAGAGGTCCTTGAATTTTTTAAGTCCATGAACCTCTTTGTTAGTCTGGTGAGGCTTATGGAAGTCTTTTCAGAATAATGTTTTTAAATAAATAAAATGAAATCCATAGAATTAAAAGGAGACCAATTATTTTGAAATATAGTTAGAATAATTTTTAAAGGTTGTAACATAATGATATGTGTGCCTCTATATTAGTATGTCAAAATCAGAGGTCAACAAACTTTTTCTCTAAAGGGTTAGATAATAAATGTTTTTAGCTTTGTGGGCAATATAGTCTCTTGGAACTACTCAACTCTGCCATTGTAGCATGAAAGCAGCCGAAGATAAAATATATACGTGAATTAGCATGACTGTCTTCCGATAAAACTTGAGCTACAAAAGCAGGCAGCAGGCAGTTTTCCAAATAATAAGGTCTACTGATTAGTCTAATAACTATGATGGTTTTGAAGTGGCAGTGATCCTAAATGATATTTTGAGATACCTATTAATACAATACCTGTAATGTGATATAAAAAATTTTGTGATTTTTGTTGGTGACAAAGTCACAGGTGCTGCTAATATTAACTATAATTTATACACTCATAGTTGAGGGAAACACTAAGTTATAGTTAAAAGTCAGTAAAATAAAGATGTAATTTTTCCCATCCAAATTCACAGACCCCCTAAATTCTGTTCATGGACCCCAGTGTAAGAACCCCTGAGCTAGGAGTCTTGATTAACAGTTCAAAATACACATATTAACAACAGAATAAGATTTAACTCAGAGTGAATGAAAATCCCTTCTTAGTTGAGTAAGTTTAGAATAGACCCAGATCCTGGTCACATATAGCTTTGTGGTGGTTGTATCGGCTGATGGCAATAATTGATCTCCACAATATCTCACAGCCCCTAGTAAAGGGTGTCAGGAGCAGCTACTAAATAGAAACAAGCCTGGAAGGAAGTGAAGAGGACTGAATTTGATTGTTTGAAGTGCAGAGAAGGAATGAGCAGGCAGGGATCTTCCATCAGTTTTAAAATTCTGAGGAAGTTGCACAAACTTATCGAATTGTCAAGATTTGCAGGCATTGATGAGCCTGGTTCTGTACATACATACAATGAAAAGGAGTATTATTAAGGGAAGCAGTGGAAGGCCCATGACCTTTTCTGGAAAATGGCAGATCCCTTCTCTATAATTCCAACATTACCCAGAAGCCTCCAACTTCTTAGAATTCCTAGTTTAAAACTGCAAATATGCCAGCAATAACTTTCAAACACCACAATTTCCGCTAATATTGCCTCATACCCAATTCGGCTTTATAGCGCAGTTCCAATGTAATTGTAGCTACTGCATTGATTGGGTCAGAGAATCTATGTAGATTTCTAACCAGATCCAAGCAAGAACTTTTTCAGGACCCAGAAACTTATTGCCCTTTAGAGTGGTAGTTAAGCGAAAAAGAAAAAACCTGGTATTTTGAATTTATGGCAATAATAGAAAAATTGCTAGCTGCTTTTGATGAAGGAGTTTACAGTGAATACAACACTGCATATATTGACTTCATATTTCAGTGCACATTCAGATTTATTGATTAGAGAAGGACTGACTCAAATCAAGATTGATTTGATAGAAATCACAGTCTGCTTATTTATCATGTGGAGAAAATTTACACATCTACCTAAGCATAGGGGTATTAGTTATTGACTCTGAATTAAGACTTGGCTGAGTGTCAAGTTTCCACTGGCAGTCCATAGACCTCTTTCGAGAAAATTCTTGTTTGCATTTGAGCAAGAAACCATGAAAGGAACATTTTGGTTGTTTAAACATCCAAAAGTACTTTGAAAAATCAAAATATAGTACAATGTTGTTAACTGGTATTTGTGGTGATACTAAGATTGTTGGCTGAATGAAGTTTTCTTTTATTCTATTTATAAAGAAAGCAAATGAAGAATAATGTTAACAAGAGGACAAGATTTCAAGCACTTTAGTTATACTCATTTATAAGTAAATATTAGTATACCAATTTGAAATCATTCTCTAATAAGGCAGGATGTTAAATAGTCTCGGAACAGCCATTCAAAAGCAGTCTCTTAAGTTAACTATACTTAGAAGTACTTGGTTAAATTAGCAGTAATTTAGCTAATATTTGTGAAGTACTTAGATTATGCCAGAATGTGCTATATATTTTTCGCAGATAGTCTTTTAAACCCTTTAAAAAGTCCCTAATAAGTAGGTATTGGTATTGTTCTCATTTTACATTTGAGAAAACTGAGTTTCAGAGAGGCTAAGTGACTTGCCAGCGGTCTCACAGACAATACATAGAGATGGAATAAAAACTGGTTCCACTGGGTTCTTCAATTTGTGAGTTCTTGAGTCAATTATTCCCCCCTCACAGTGAGGAGGGAGTAGGGAAATCGGGAAGAGAAAGAGCAGATTAATAATATTTAATTGAAAATCCTAAATTTCACATCTTTCAGGAATTAATCACTCAGGGCACTGGTTCCTAACTACAAACCAAGTGGCATTAGATTTTGGAACAAAGGGCTTAACCCAGTTTGCTACTGGTTATTTTCCTTCAGTACAATTGCATTGCAAGGGAAATAGCTGCTCACAAGTGTTAAGGGCCTTATTACTGTTCAAATGCCCTTTTAATACTCTTTATGCTGGCAAGGGTACATTACAAATGAAATACAGGAGAGGAATAATTCAAACTCCTTGGATGGTGGCATTTTGTAAACCTCAAAGCCATAGTACAAATCTCTCTCAAACCTCTGGAAATCCATCTTCATAGCATAGAGTAGGTGGGAAGGGGCTTGCAAATCCTTTTCAACCTGACAGCTCAAAAACCTAACTTGTTTTCTGATTCCTCAGCTGTGACAGGTCGGTGGCGGAGTATTTTTCACTTCAGAAGCCAAGAACTTTTGCTAGAATATGAAGGCCAGAGCAGCTGGGCTTTAATGCTAGATTCTGCACAGGGAAGACAAAGGAAAAAACAGGATGAAGTATATGTCAGGTCTGTTCTGGTGTTTTTGCATAAAATGCATTTGATAATAAACATTAGATTTTGAAAGTTCCTGTGCCTTTAGACACAATGTCTTGGCAAATTCTCAGCATCTTGCCTACCATCTGTATACACCCATTTGCTCCACTTAGTTAACCTATTCCTAACTCTTACTCCTCAGGGAAGTGTATCTCCACACAATTTGAGGTCGCAAATAACCTGTCTGCCCCCAAATATTACTCTACCACCTGGCTACTGAGCCTGAAATTTCCACTATGGTTCATTTATTCTAATTTTGTCTACTTACTACATCTGTTTATCCTTCCAGCTACCCACCAATCTATCAAAAAAATATTGTCTGCTCTGTGCCAATCACTCTGTTGCATTCTGGAAATTCATTGATAATTAAAGCAGACGTGGCTTTTGCCTTTGAGTGTACGGCCTATTGGGTGAGACACAATAGACATGTAAAGGGACACAGAAGTGATTCACTTTAAATTGTGCTATGTGCTATGATGAATATGAATGCAATGGGTGTCATGACAAAAGATAACAGGAAGGAATCTACATAGCGTGCTCAGGTGTCAGTTTAGTTGAAACTTTTTTTTTTTTTTTTTTTGAGACAGGGTCTTTTTCTGTTGCCCATACTGCAGTGCAGTGGTGTGATCATAACTCACTGGAGCTTCAACCTCCTGAGTTCAAGCGATCCTCCTGCCTCAGCCTCCCAAGTAACTGGGACTACATGCATATGCTACCACACTTGGCTAATTTTTAAATGTTTGCACAGATGGGGTCTCACCATTTTGCCTAGGCTATTCTTGAACTCCTGGCCTCAAGTGATCCTCCTGCCTTGGCCTCCCAAAGTTTTGGAATTATAGGCATGAGCCACCATGCCTGGCCTCAGTTGAAACTTACATTCTACTAGAGGGAACTCCATTTAAAGTACATATACAGCTGGGTGTGGTGGTTCATGCCTGTAACCCCAGCACTTTGAGAGGCCAAGGCAGGAGGGTCCCTTGAGCCCAGGAGTTTGTGATCAGCCTGGGCAACATACCTAGATCCCATCTCAAAAAAATTAAAAATAAAAATATAAATAAAATACACATATACCATGTAGCAGGGGTATGCACTAACTTACTAGAGTGGTCACATTCACAGAGGATAGGACTCTGAGGGCATGGGTCTCAGAATAGATCGGTTTTTTTGGTAGACTGTGGGTCAGAGAGAAGAGAAGTAGACCAACTGAATACTAAGTGTTGTTTAAAAGGTTATCTTTCCTCATTCCAACCTTAGCACCAAGAGGTAGGTAGTTGTCAACTCTATTCTAGGGATAGAAAAAGCAGTTTCTGAGAGGTTAAGCAATTTGACCAAGGTCACAAGGTTAGCTGGTGGCAACCCCTAGGAATAGGAAAGCTAGAGTGTTATGTGTGGGGAGGAGTAGGGGGTTGGATAAAATCTAAGGCCTACCAAAAGGAAAACAGAGGCAAAAAAAAAAAAAAAAAAAATTAATATCATTAACCAAACATGAATTAAAATACCTGGTCCCGTCTTTAAATTGGTTACAATTCACCTGCAGAAAGATGAGGAACTCACGATAAAGGGCAGAATAGTATAAGCAATACTAATAGTCAAGTCAAAACTGTGCGTTATGACTGAGGAAGATAAACAAGAAACATGCAAGGGAGGAGTCAGGAAACTTTGAAAAGGCTACTGGGAGGAGGTTGTCAAAGCCATTGAAAATGGAGACTTCCTTTAAATACAGTGCTTGCTTCCTCTTGTTTGGATGAAGTAGTTTTAGATTTCAAGCAAGTTAGGTACAAAACAATGATTACTGAACTGTCTGGAAGGTCAACAGACACATTATGATCATTGAGTTATGAATCACTGAAGGCTGCATGGGTCCAGGCAACATCCCATCTGCGGGTGCTATTTCAGGTCGAAATGCATAATATCAGTTGTTGTCCCCAGCTCCACTTCCCGTCACTAAAATGTGACAGTGATTAAATGCAAAATGCAAATATTACAGTATGTAAGTACAAATTTAAAACAATAATGGCCTCTTGTCAGACAATATGGAAAGGCAAAGTTGCATGGAATTTGTTATTATACTTGCAAATGCAGCAATATTTACAATGGGTTGACACAGAGCTACATAACCCAATACAAGGCGAGGGAAGAATTATGGAAAGCAGGAAAGCAAAATTGTGAACACAGAACACTGCCTTTAAGGAATCACAAAGGAAGGCATGAAGAGGGAGGAAAACAGTTTCAAGGTCAGTGTTCCTAAGACATTTTGGAATAGCCCCTATGCTCCTAATTTCTTTTATGAATCAAAGCAAAAGCCAAAGGATCAGTTTTTTGAAGTTTGCTTATGGCCTAACGTCCTCAGTGTCAACTCTAATTTCTTAATTGTCTTATACTTCTTAAATCTTTCATTTTTCTATGAACCATGAGATCCACGAGGCCAGAAACCATGTCTGTCTTGTTCACCATTCTATTTCTAGCATCTAACAGTGCCTGGCATGTAGTGCCTGCTCAATAAATATTTGGTATTTGAACGAATAATTGTTCTCCTGGCTGCCTTGAAAGCTCTCGTGGCTTTTCTCTCCTACTAAGAAATTGCCTCCAGGCTCTGTATCTCTCCTTATCCAATTATTTTCACTAAAACCTGCTTATTTTATATCTTATTCTCTCAGAGACTCTCTAAAGAGAGAAGATTTTAACAATAAGATTAATAGTTTCAGGCACTGCATTAATCTGGGTCCAACCAGAAAAATAGAAAACCACTGTAAGTGTTTAAAATAGAGGAAATTTAATGCCAGGAACCAGTTACACAGATGGTGGGGATACACATAAGGGCAGTCTTGCCTCCCAGATCAAGAGTATGTTGAAAGCAGTTCTCTTGATGCTTAATTCTGTTATGAGCTCATGCAATCTAAGGGTTGGAAAGAATCTTAAACTTCGTTAAGCTCCAACTCATCAGATGGCTGTTGTGCCACAGATGGCTATTGCCTACTCCAACATCTCTTCTTCTCTTTCTCCTCAGGCACAGAATGCCTATTTTTAGATGAACACATTTCTACCCAGAATCAAAGAGATTCTGTTTTTCTGACCTTCCTTGCAGCTAGCCAAGGCCATGAGACTAACTTTTAGGCAGTAATATGTAAGCAAAGGTGTCATGTGGGACTTCCAGGGAGGTTTCTGAAAAGGAGTGGACACATTTAAGAGGCGCTTCTTTTGGTTTTTCTTCCCTCCTTTTTGAGGCTTATAGTGAAGACATGTTGTGGGAACTCCATGGGCCCATGAAGTATCCTTGCAGGTAGAAGACATGGGATAGGATTATACAACAGGAAGACAGGACCCTAGGTCCGTGATGACACTAGAGAATTATCCTGTAGCTTTGTACTGCCCACTTCCAAACCACTTTCACATGAAAGAAAAATAAACTTCTATATTATTTAGCCATTGTTGTTGAGTTTTCTGATCTTTTGCTTTCTTTCTATTATATACAACTGAATCTAATCCTAACTAATCCAGTTATATCGTTTTTATTGCATCTGAGACAAACGGCCATTTAACTTTGGCTTGGATACTTCCTGTGGTGGGAAACTTACTAATTCTTTGGGTGGACTTTGTATCTTTGAACAGCCATTACTAATGAAAAATTTTCTTAACTGATTGCAAATTTATATTTATTAAGATTTTACTTAAGGGTGTTTAAATGGTTTGGGGTCACAAAGAGCCTTCAAATTATTTTTTCACGTCACGTATTTGAAGATATGTCATGTTCCTCGGAGTCAGCTCATCTCCAGTTTAAATATCTCCAATTCTTTCAACTACTCCCTACAAGACATCGTTTCTTCATTTCAATAAGTTTGACCTAGCTTCATGTATTAGTTCACACAGCAAGCCCTATGGAAAAGAGCTCCAGGCTATGAGATTCAGCTATGTTGCCTGCAGCCCAGTTTATTTAATTTATTCAATTGAATTAAGGAAAAGGTACTTTCTACTTGCTCTTGTGTAAATTAGCAGCCTGAAGTTTACATAATGGACCTCACTATTTTGGGTGGTCTAAAATTGAGGTTAAAACAGACACGATTATTTAATCCTATACTATATTATTATCAGTGTGTTCAGCAAGAGACTTAAAGTTTTAATTCATTATTAACCACATTGTACACAAACCAGCTTCTCCTTTTACACAGTAAGAGGCAACATTCCCAGAGTCATTAGCTATTGCTTAATCTTTTCAAACAAAGCTCCCTTCTTAAATGTTTCTGTGGATGTAGCCAATTCAGACTGTTGGGCTCTCATCTCCAGGGCCGTCTGCTTAGCACCTGTCGATCACTTCTAATGGCAACATATTCTTGGAGTCTACTGAGAAACGGCTTTCCATATGTGTTAGAAGAAATTTATAGTCTTTCAAAACGTGCGTCTAAGAGTTATGCTTCTCCCCCACCACCCAACTAGAAGAGTGGCAAATGCCATTGGCTCCTACCTGTCAAATTCAATAAACTAACTTTTTTGTCATCTCAGCTGACACTTCTATGGCATTTCACACTGTTGACTACCTCATTTTCAAAATTATCTACCCCTTTGTTTACCAACATGGCATCCCTACTGGTTCTTCTTCTGTATGTGGCCATTTCTCAATTTCCCGTGCTGGGTCCTCTTCCTCTAATCACCACTTAATTGTTGCTGTTCTTCAGAGCCCTGACCATGGCCATCTGTGCTTCTCATTTTGCGCCTTTACCCCATACAATCCCATCTACTTCTGTATAATCAGCATAGGCTGATGACCTTTTAGTCTGTATCTCCAGCTCTGACCTCTCTCTTCTGAGCTCCAAATCAGCATTTTCAACTGACACAGGGGCGGAGCTCTTGATGACACACAGGCACCACAAACAATGAATCTTCAAAACTCATTATCTTCCCACCCACAACTCAGATATTCAAGCTAAAATCAGAGAATCAGGCACTTTCTTACCTTTCTGTAGTTATTCCTGTCAATAAACATGTCATTTAGAGATGTGAAAACTGAGGCTGAGTGCTCAAGTAGCTTGTCTATAAATCTCGCAGCTACTACAAGATGATTTTTTAAAATTTATTTTTAAATTTTCTTTTTTTTTTTTTTCCTTTTTTCTAAGCCCATACCTTACAAGGACACTACAAGACAAATTCTAACACATTTCAGTCTAACTCTGGAGCTGGAACTCTTAACTCTTATGCTAAATTCCCCTTACTAGGTAGTTCTATTATAGAATATTTTGTCTTCATCTTGAAAATCAGAGAGCAAGACCCTGAGGGAAGAGCACACTTAAGAGGAAAGGGTTGTTGAAACATTAGGTTAGGAGGGAGGTGAGGTACCTGAACAACTGGGAGAAGTAAAAGCTCAAAAAGTGCAGGGAACAAAAGGCAGTTGAAGGAAAAAGTGCCACGAGCCAGGGCAGAGCAGGAAGGGCCTCAGGCCAAAATAGTCTCTCTTAGGGTCTTATTGAGAAACAAGTGACCTCACTAGGATTCAATCAAGATTGTAGGTAAGCGGTTTCCAGGTGGGAAAGGAAAAAACCTTTTGGTAATCCCAAACTTTGATTTCCACATAACTTGTATTGAAATCAAAAGGGCCTGTTGACTGATACATGTGAATGGTAAACATGATGAATAGCTGCAAAACATAATAATTGGCATTACTTTGGAACAGAAGCAAAGGTACAATTATCATAGCCCATTCAGCCATGAAAATTAGAAGCAAATTGACAGTAAAATAATTATTCTCAAAACATTTTTTCAACAGTTTTATTAAGCATCTTTCTACTGTAGTCATTTTTATTTCTTCTGCTCCAAATTCTGTCAGCCACTTTTTTTTTTTTTTTTTTTTTTTCTGGCTTTACACTTAGCAACCCATTAGGAATGGAACTCATTTTCAGTACACAAAAGGCTTTGGGACAGCAAATTTCTTTAATTTTAACACTCTCTCAGTATCTGCTGCTTGACCAAATAGATATATTCGAACAATATTGGCTATAAGATAAATTCTATTTTGCTCTTGCTTACATTAGAATGCTGAGGATGTGTTCCCATGAGTTTCTCCCTCCTTGTACCCCACCGAATGGAATGTTAAAAATACGGAGAAAGGTCAGTATCAAGAAGACATTTCTTAGATAGCATTGATGCCGTGATTATTAGGGGGTGGGGGAAAGGTGTTTTGTTTGGGTTCTTTCTTCTGCCATAGGTCCACTGTTCCTCTTACCCTTTTTCAGGAAAATAATTTATTCTAAACCTGTTATTCTAAACCTGTTTGTCTTCACTCTTCTTATGGATCTAAATAGTATCTAGAAAGTATAGGTGTGATGCTGTATCTCACCACTAAGTGCTACGTTTTAATACAAGTTACTCCAGCATGAAAATTCCTTACATTATATTCTTAGCTACTTTAAAAAGTAAGGTAAATGAACTTCTTTATCAATATCTAAATTAGAACTCAGGTAAAGTGAATTTGCTTAAAGCAAGGAGCAAGGTAAATTTATTTAAAACATGGGAACATTTTAGTTAAAATTCACATTTCTATCACCTCCTTCTAAATGACATTGTCAAAATGCTTTCACATGGCTTATGGTTTCATTTATAAAGTAGCTAGAAAAAAGCCCAATACTTAACCCTAAATAGCTACTGATTTGTTTTTGAGGTAACTGAGGCCGTACAGCCTTTATAAATTGATTAAAAGGCAGGAATGATAATTTCTTTCATGTGTCTCAGTTTCCAAATGCCAAGTTTGTTATCCTTAGACTAGGCATATAACCTCTGGGTTGTTATATTTAAAATAATAACTTACCACTGTCCTGTTTTCTTATAGTATTATATGAATTTATGGATTAATAATCAGAAAATTCCTTCTGGATGAATCTGGCTTTTGTTTCAAGGTGTCTAGCAGGCACACAATGATATAACTAGCTTATGAATTCTGAATTTTTAATTCAGTATTCAGATTATATTCAGAATTCAGAAAGTAATTCCTTTCTCTGAATTACTTTGTCCTTTTCTCATGTTTTTATAAGAATTTAAGGCCTGCCAGATTGGATCATGCCAGTATTTCCTATAGTGTAAGATTCTACCTTCAACTGTGGCATTAAGAGAAATTTTGTGGCAAGATGGATATATTTGCTTTTCATGACAGCAACCTTAAAAGCTTAGGAACAATCCCTAATAATCTTTTTTGCCCATATTTTAAAATTATTCTTATTATTTTTAAATTGACAAATTAAAATTATATACATATATGGTATACAGCATAATTCAAATATGTATACATTGTGGGATGGCTAGATCAAGCTAATTAACATATGCATTACCTCATAGACTTACCATTTTTTTGTGATGAGAACACTTAGAATCTACTTTCTTAGTAATTTTCAAGTATACAATACATCGTTATTAACCACAGTCACCATGTTCTACAATAAATCTCTTGAAATTATTCTTCCTGTCTAAATAAAATTTTGTGTCCTTTGATTCCTAATAACCTTAACTACTCTCCACTCATTAAGGATCTGTCATACATAATTTTTTCTTAACATCATTGTCACCTTCTTATATTTTTCATTTGGATTACTATGTTTTTCTACATACTGATAAACAACTGATTTGACTAAAATTTATCCACTGAATTGCCTGATTTATTGACAGAGTAAGCTGAATGTTTTGGCATTTTATAGATGTAGCCAAAGGCACACACCAAACAAGCAAACTGAATGGGAAAATGCTTGTGACAGTTTGGCCTGAGGGTACTGTCAAGCTCCCCTGGCATTCTAGAAGATCCCTTTCCAGGGAAAGCAAAGCGCATGGCAAGACAAATTATCAGATCAGGTCAGCATCAAATTTCAATAACCATGGAAAAAAATGTAGGAACGGGTGGCAGACCCGAATCAGGAGCTAAGCACCAGGTGGTATCAAACATATATGAGGGTGTGACTTATCTGACCTTTTTATGACATTTGACCTTGATGGTCACTTGATTTCAAGATAAGAGTTGGGAAACTCCTGTGGCTTGGGCCATATGGTTCCAGATGATTCAGTTACTGACAAAATCACTAATGGGGGAAGATATTTATAGAAGTGTAGAATCCCAAACTAACAAGGATTCGGCCTGCTCTAATAGTTACTGACCACATTTCACTTGCACTGTTAGATTCCTTTTTCAAAACTGTCTCTTAAAGGGATGGTTTCAGACTGTAGTCTGAAATATGAGTCTTTTCAGAAGAGGATTACTAGTGAGATGAAGGGACTCCAAGTCATGACATAAGGAACCCAGGATGTTTAATTAGGAGTAAAAAATACTTAGGGAGGGTTATTTTTTAGAGGAGGGATCAAATTTGTCCCGTGTGGCTACATATAACAAATCTAGGAACAGATTTCAGCTTGATAAAAGGAAGAATTTTCTGTGACTTGGATCAGCGCTAACAAAAATGGGCAACCTTAACAGCATTGCCTGTTATCATAGGTCTTTGGATACACTGAGGTAGGGTACACAATGGGCAGGAAGAGGGTAGAAGGGAGTTCTGAAGTGTATGAATGCTTGGGCCAAGTCAGTCATTAGTAGACTACCGGATCTGTATGACCAGTTAGTGAAGATTCAAGAAAAAACAAAAATACTGATATAGATTTCCAACTTTTAATTTTTTTAACCAAGTGAAGTCTGATAAGGTTTTAGAGGGGCAATGGATAACATTTCCCTTGTCTTCCTGAGTCTGAAATTCATCAGAATTTGGAGCCAGAATGCCTGGGTTTGAATATAGACTGTCACTTACTAGCTGAGTGACCTCAGGAAAATTATTTAAACCTTCTGTGCCTCAGTTTCTTCATTTGTAAAATGGGGATAATAATACCTACCTCAAGTATAAAGCATGTGAATGGCATGTTGTTCATAATAAATGCCTTCAAAGTGTTAGCTATTAGCTCTTAATTGGCATACAGATACAAAAGTTAGCTGAAAGATCAAATGTCACCTTTAGCACAGATACAACTGAAGTGGAGATTGTGGATTTAGATCTTCAGTCAAATGGGTGTACTAATACGTCACCCCTGATCAGTTTACCCATCCAGTCATTGACCCATCTGTACAACTATAGGTCTTCTCCACAGAAGTTGGTTTCTTTCCTGTTTGGCATAGAATGTGGGCATTTTGTGGATAAGATGGCTCCAGAAAGTGAGAAACTCAGAAGGGGCCAAGTCAAAGACACTCACTTTTTTCTTTGAAACTTACTAAATAAAATAATTCACTTTTCCTACTATGGTGAGGAGTAAATGAAGAGTAGGGAAGGTAGGAGTATTTTTCTAGTGGAGCTCTCTTTCCATGTATATATGAGGCAAAAAATGAAGGTTCACCCTCTAAGGAGAACACTAGGGAAAGAAGAAAAAACAAACTGTCATTTAAAACACCATCATTTCATACCCCAAAAGTAGAAGGGACATAATCTCAGAGTGAAGCAAAGTCCTCTAATACATTTAGCTTCCTACCACATTGCCCTTATTGTTTTACCGACCTGAAAGATTTCATTAGGATTTTGCACAAGTCCCTGAAACTGGCCTTTGGGAGCCACTGAAATAGATGACTTTTCAGATCCTTCTAACCATGAGATGTTTTAATTCTATGATAGAATTTCATTTGTACCTGGACCACAGAAGAGAACCAAGGGACTGGACCTAGGTCAAGGGACAGGCAGATCCTGAAAATGTGTTTGTAAAAGGGTTGGCAGTCAGACCCAGAGCAGAGTACTTTTTCTCCTTGGAATTCTTAATCATATTTCCCAACTGTCAGTATGGAGAAAAATTTATCTAAAAAGACCAGAGGGTTATCGTGAGGAGAGCTCGATGTTGAACCTCTGTGCTCAATCTTGAGCTTTGGGCTCTCCATTGCCAGCCTGTGCACCATAATAGTTGGAAGAAAAGACAGAAATGCCAGTTTTGGCATCTCCCTCAGTAATAACATTTCAAATGTCTTCGCTTTTTTTGTCTTAACATTTTATTACCAGCTTGTAGTTCTTCTCATCCCACGTGTGGTCCCACATTCCCCCTTGTGAACTGATGAAGCTACGTTGCAGCAAATTGAAATAGAAAACCACATATCCATGGTGATTTATCATTAATGTGAAATTCTATCCAAACCTGAAAGTCAAGGAACAGGAATCCCAAGCTGTTTCAAAATTCATATTACAAGACAGACAATCAGATGCCCCAAACCACAACATCTTGTACTCTATGAATCGTATACTGACAGAGCCCTTTGGTTGCATTTGTATTTCCAAATAAATACAAACATATGTCACCATTTTTTATTGATTTTGGAATTTCCTAGGAAGGAAACGCTGTTAAATTATAACAAACGGTGTCAACTAAAACAAATAGTGCAAAACCCATTAAGAAGGCATTTGTTGCAGAACTTGGTTTGATTTGTTGGCGTCAGTTGAAATCATGTCAAAATCATGTCTCTGGAAACCAAATAAAAATTTGTTTGCAAATTTGTCTGTGGCAAGCATTTCTAGCACATAAAAATCCTTAAGAATCAATATGGTTTTATTCAGTATGCAAATGTATTGAAAAGCATTACGGCAAAAATTCCATTGCTGAATTATATGATAGCGTTAGTGAATTAATAAATAATAATAGATGATAAATAATATAGGGATTGAACTAGATAATACATTTATGAAGAAGTAGAGGGAGAAAAAGATTAAAGGGATAGTCTTGGGAGAAGATCAATTTTCAGATAAGCTAAAATAACATTTTATATTCAGAAAATTAATGGAGTTAAGTCCTGTAACGCACAAAGTCCAGTTGAAGTAAATTTCACTGCAGACTGTAAAAAGGAAAGGAGATGGAAATTGCCTAGTTCTGAAGTGATAACCATTGGAGTTCTAATATGAATCAGTCTGCATCTATGATTTGCATGACTGTGTTTGCCTTCCAGGTAATTGGGAATTTAATTGCTATCAGGATAAAATTTGAGTATTATTTGCAAATTATATCAATGCAATGCATCCCAATGTGCGTTTTTGAGAGTGATTGTAATTAGGCAAATGGAAGGGCTGCAGTTGGTGCTGGACTTCAGTATAGAACTTAAAAAGAGCTTATCTTCAGCATACTCCAGATTCTCTACTGCTACTACCCTCTTGTTCCTCACCTTACAGTGGTGTTCGAACTGCATCTGACCTTTTTGTCCCTCTCTCTGTTTCCTCCTCACACTGAAACAGACCCCTTCTAATCTCATTCCTGATATGTTTAAAGGAGCTCGTTAATGTCTTTATCCCTTATCTCTCCCAGATACTTTCTTTCTCTTTTTGCAAAGTAAAAAAATACAAAACCCAAGCTGAATCTCAATCACCATCTACTATCACCATAGTTTTATAAAAAGAAGGGGGCTTTAATGCCTCCCAGCCCCCAGGACATCATCTCAGGAAGGACATCATCTCAGAAAAATAGACAGCTTTTAACTGAATACATTTAGCTTTTTGACAAACTCTCATTACATTGACCTTATTTTTCTAATTTTTTTTTAAAAGCCAAATTTTATCACAGCCCAGCACTATTTTGTAAACTGATGTCTGAAAACTGCTGTGATGTTGCAAAGGGAAGAGATACTGATTTTTTGTGGTGGGGTAAAGTATAGTTATGGAACAAAGCAGGATGAAGCTAGGAGGTTCATCTTAGGGATCAGACAGTAGCAACAGGCTCTGGGGTAAAGTAGAAAGAATACATGGAATATAGGGACGACAAGTAAGGCTATATCGGTGGGGAAGCATGTTGGAGAGGGTTACAAGGACTTTACAAACATGGCTACTCAAGGGGAAATGACTATAGGTTCTTCCCATGGCTCTTACAACCTCCTTGACATGAATGGTTAGAATTGTAGGACTTTGTACGGTGTGGCTGGCCTTTTGCTGGCCATGTCACACTGTGCAGCCAGCTTCCTTGCTGCAGTGATTGGATATTGCAATTCCCCTTCCTCTGTAAGCACCACTGATATAAGCCCATTTTGGGTTGGCAAGACAGCATTTTTTATTGATTTGAATTCTGCAAAGTGTTCTGTAAGCAAAGTCTTCTAGAATCAGGGAGAGCAAAGTTGCTGAATTATGCATATGTTATATGTACATAGTATATTTGTACGCGTGTGTGTATTCCAACTTCTAAAACAGATTATACCAGTTTCTTTTTTTTTTTTCCTTTGCAAAAAAAAACAAAGACCAAAAGAGCTCAATCAAAGCTTCAACTAAGTGGTGTCATCAGGGTTCCAGCTTTGGGGGTTGTTAGAAGCATCCTGAGGAAAAATTCAACAGAACAATGCCCTGTTGTTACTTGTGAGTGAAATCTACAGACCATCAGAGGGAGTACTTTAGCTGCTGTGAAAGGGCTCAGAGGGAGCCAGATAATAAATGTACAACAATCCAATGTCAGAAATGATCACTATTGCAAAATGAGACTGAAAGTCTATTTTTTTTTTTTTTTTTAGCAATTTATGCAGATGAAGTCCCAACTCTGGCCATGGCCAATATTAGCTGGATAATTCTTTGAATCTGGCTAATGTGGAATCTTGCAAGGACAAAGAGGATTTGCTCATGAACTGGTAAGAGAGGTACTGGTCATGCATGCTTAAATGTGCTAATAGTTCTGGTCTTTAATGGTACCGACTTAATGAAGATGATGTTATGCATTTTTAATTGTTCGCCTATGATTCGACATTAGCCATGCCTTTCTAATATGAAGATTTGTTGGCCAGAACTGACATTAGCTGAAAGTGGATCCTTAACTTGTCAGTTCCTCCCACATCTTCCTTGCCTTTGTTTTCCCTAGTGCCTTTCAACTGAATTGATGAGCCCTATTTGCAGACCCAGATCACCCCCTAACCCTTTCCTAAATCAATGTTTAAAATGGCAGAAAATATATCAACAACCTCAGACTAATTTAACAGGGCTTGAAACACTGAGCCGGGAGTGAGCTTTGTGCGTTCATTACACCCCTGAATTGCAGTGCTCCTCGCCCCCTTTCTAGGTTACTTTTGCTCTGTTCTCCCACTGTGCAGTTTGGTAATTTGGCCTTGTTTCCCTCTAGGACTAACTCCCCATGCAGAACCTTGCCTAACTCCTGCCAAACTTTTCTTCCTAGACTCTGCCCTAGCCCATTTCTTTGATACCTTATCAGTTGGCAAGATATGGACATATCATGATGATGATGCACACTGTGCTTCACTTCTGGGTTGAAACCTTTCTGGAAGTTCTTGTTACTGAGTTGGCTCTCCTCCCTCTGACTATTATTTGAGGCTATAAACACTGCTCTAGGCATTCCCAACTGTCCTGGCTGAGATCCTGCTCTGCAAACTGTGGTCAGATTCCCTCAAAACCTATTCTAGTTAATGGGTCTTTGCTTGGTCCAACTTCCTCTCCCCTCATGCATTGTGGCTGAATCCATCTATGATTTGTCTTTGTAGTTGATGTGAGGGCTTCTGCAAAAAGCTCTATCTCCAAAGTCTCCATCTGTGATACCTGAAATTTCTTGCTATTAGAGATTCAGTACTTTGACATAGGATATTTTCTATAGGTAATGTCTGTAAGAATGCATATATTCCAGGTGTCTCAGGGTGTTCTAGGTTAAGCTGTGGTAATGAGTAAACCCAAATATGTAATAGCTCAATATAATAGTTTATTTCTTGCTCACATAGCAATCCTGTGTGGGTTCTCAAGTCAGCAGGGTGGTTCTCCTCCCCACAGTCATTTTGAGATTCAGGTTTTCCCCATTTTGTGGCCCCTCAATTCCCTAGGGCCTCATTGGCATCTATACACAGCTGGTGGAAGAAAAGAGCCAGACTGGAGTAAGACCCTTTTCTTAAAAGCTTTGACCCGAAGGTGGCGCCCTGTACGTATTCTCACATGCCATTGGTCAAAATTCAATCACATGTTCACATCTAATTGCAAGGGAGGCTGGGGAATGTAGTCTAGTCATTTTGCCAGGAAAAATATGGGAGAATAGATTTAGGAGGACAGCTAACAGTTGCTGCCATACCAAATAAGGATAACATGCTAACTCGGTTTCAGTCTTTAATGCCCTAACACAGTTTGGCTAATTAAATTGCTAATATCTTGGAAAACAGATGACGAAATAACAGGATATGAGCTAGGTCAGGAGAACAAAGTAGAGGAGTGTAGAGAATACATAGCCAAACATAGTTCATTGAATGGAAAGGTCAGATTTCCTTGAGGTGAAAAATTTGCAGAGATAGTGAGAGGTGACAACGTGCTAGCAGCCCTAGCTTGCTCTTGGCGCCTCCTCAGCCTCGTGTCTGCTCCGGCCGCACTTGAGGAGCCCTTCAGCCTGCCGCTGCGCTGTGGGGGCCCCTCTCTGGGGCTGGCCAAGGCTGGAACTGGCTCCCTCTGCTCACGGGGAGGTGTGGAGGGGGAGGCGCGGGAGGGAGCCGGGGCTGTGCACGGCACTTGCAGGCCAGCGCGGGTTCTGGGTGGGCACGGGCTCCACGGCCTCAGCCGGCGCCTGCTGGGCTTGATCAGGGAAGAGCTCCCTCTGGGCTGCCGGACTGCCCGGGCTAGGAGCCGCAAAGTCCTGTAGCAAGTGCCAGTGAGAAGTAAAGCTGGCTGGGCTTCTGGGACGGGTGGTTACTTGGAGAACTTTTCTATCTAGCTAAAGGATTGTAAATGCACCAATCAGTGCTCTGTGTCTAACTAATCTGGTGGGGACTTGGAGAACTTTTGTGTCTAGCTAAAGGATTGTAAACACACCAATCAGCACTCTGTCAAAACGGACCAATCAGCTCTCTGTAAAATGGACCAATCAGCAGGATGTGGGTGGGGCCAGATAAGGGAATAAAAGCGGGCCACCTGAGCCAGCAGAGGCAACCTGCTCTGGTCCTTTTCCACGTTGTGGTGGCTTTGTTCTTTTCCTCTTCCCAATAAATCTTGCTGTTGCTCACTCTTCCAGTCTGCACTGTTTTTATGAGCTGTAACACCACGAAGGTCTGCAGCTTCACTCCTGAAGCCAGCAAGACAAGGAACCCACCAGGAGGGACGAACAACTCTGGATGGGGAGAATGAACAACTCCGGATGTGCCACCTTTATGAACTGTAACACTCACTGTGAAGGTCTGCAGCTTCACTCCTGAGGCCAGCAAGACCACGAACCTACTGGAAGGAATGAACAACTCCAGACGTGCCACCTTTAAGAGCTGTAACACTCACCGCGAAGGTCTGCAGCTTCACTCCTGAAGTCAGCGAGACCATGAACCCACCAGAAGGAAGAAACTCTGGATACATCTGAACATCTGAAGGAACAAACTCTGGACACACCATCTTTAAGAACTGTGTAACACTCACCACGAGGGTCCGTGGCTTTATTCTCAAAGTCAGTGAGACCAAGAACCCACCAATTCTGGACACAATAGGACTCTTAGAAAGTCAGGGGTTAGCCTGAGCACGGTGGCTCATGCCTGTAATCCCAGCATTTTCGGAGGCCGAGGCTGGTGCATCACTTGAGCCCAAGAGTTTGGGACCAACCTTGGTGACATGGTGAAACCTCATCTCTACTAAAAATACAAAAATCAGTCGGGCATGGTGGCGCCTGCTTGTAGTCCCAGCTACTATAGAGGCTAAGGTGGGAGGATTGCTTGAGCCTGGGAGGTGGAGGCTGCAGTGAGCCATGATTGTACCACTGCACTCCAGCCTGGATGACAGAGCGAGACTCTGTTGGAAGGAAGAAAGAGAGAGAGAGAGACAGAGAGAAAGAGAGAAAAAGAAAAGAAAGAAAGAAAGATAGATAGATAGATCGGTCAATATGAGGGTACTGGGAACAGGAGAGACAAGGGGATGGAAACAAAGTAAAGATGAAAAGGATGTCTCAGTTTGTTTCAGGTTAGCCCTGCTTCTACACCCAAAATGCTTCCCTGGTGAGGGTCTTCAAAATGTGAATAATCCAGCGTTGTATTTAGTTCTGTGTCATCTGTCTTTGTGAAAGAGAGGGAGCCAAATACTCCCAGAGCCTAGGTTCTTAGTGTATCCCACCAGGTTCCTGATCTTATAAGATTTTTCAACTTAGTACAAAACCAGAAGAATTAAAATCCCATCAATTTCACCATTCTTTGGTCTTTGCTCAGATCACAGTGAAAGGATAGTTTTCTTCCAGCTATTCGTTTGGTGTCAGGCTACCCACTGGGAGCCTTATTATATATGAGGCAAAATCTCTTCATATAGGAATGGGTTCTGTTTCCTGTTAGACATGCCACGTTACACAAACAAGGACTGACCCCTAGTTCATTTATGTCCTCTTTTCCTCCACAGCCCTACAGACTGTGAGAGATTGACCCATGCTGGTGACCGACCAACACATCCTTAGCTAGCTGGGTGAGAGCATGAGTTTGTTCAGAAGGGGACAGGGAGGTGAGTGGGAAGCTGGAGGTTGCCAAGCAATGAACCTCAGATGTTATCTGCAGAGCTGTTAACGGGACTGAATCTGATTTGTGTTTAGCCTGTAAGCACTTTGCAAAGGTAGATGGGAGGCAAAGGTCTGGAGATGCAGAGGCATAGAAACCATGGATTTTGCTTTTTAGCTTGTGTCCTGGATGTGTTCACTGGGCAGCAAAAAGAATCATTGAAGGTGGAGAGTCACGGGCAGTCAATCCATTCTGGATGAATAGATTTCTAAGGGTCTAAGGGCCTCATTAGTATAGACAGTTATCCATGTAATGTGATGTGAGGCGTGCTCCAAAATATCATTTTCTTGCAGTGCCTGAAATCCCATCATTAAAGATCACCCTTTGAAAATCTTTCAAAGCAATTATAATAACTAAGTTTATTTAATAAGAAATTATGTAGCACTTACTATACACTAGACACTATTCTAAAGGCTTTATAGATATTAACACACTTATTCCTTGTAACAACCCTATGAGGAAGGTACTATGTTTAGTATCCTCATTTTACAGATGAGGAAACAGAGAGAGCGAGAGAGAGAGAGAGAGAGAGAGACCGACCCAAGAACACACAGCTAGTGAATGGCAGAGCCAATATTACAAACCCAGGCAAACTGGCTCCAGAGTCTGTACTTTTAACCATTATTCTACACTGCCTTTTATATCATAGTATGTTACATTGATTTGGGGGAAGTGTAACCCATTCTAGCAGAAATTTATTAACCTAACCTTACTATTACCCCTTCCACCTAGTAAAGAGCAGCAAGACTCTGAATGATTTGCAGGGAAGAGGCATAAGGGGTCCTGATGAGACTACTAGGGGAAGGAGGGTATCAGGATGAGGGTATTGTTAAAGGGTTAGATCCCCCAGTACTTAGTCTCCCTAAACATGCATCACTCAAGGAAAAGTGCTTTTATCTCTATCTTCTACTTTGTATGAATTGGAGACAGGGTCTCACTTTGTTGCCCAGGCTGGAGTGCAGTAGCATGATCATAGACCACTGCAGCCTCAACCTCCCGGGCCCAAGCGATCCTCCTACCTCAGCTGCTCAAGTAGCTGGGACCACAGGGACATGCCATCATGCCCAGCTAAGTTTTGTATTTTTTGTAGAGACAGGGTCTCCCTATGTTCCCCAGGCTGGTCTTGAACTCCTGGG